AGATTATCATTATTTACTCCTTTGGGAATATTTGCTAATTTATTAGATTTTGGTCGTGGGCAAGACACTGTCTGGATGGAGTAAAGAGTGGGTAACAGTAGAGAAGCTGCAGAGAGGTCTGTTAAACTAGGACTCTGCTTCCTGGTCTGCACCCTGGGGGGTCAGGGTTTGGAGGACTAATAAATGTGGCCAGATTCCTAGAAAGAAGGGCTGCACCATCCAAAGTGGGATGGATGCCGTCTCTCCGAATCAGACCAGGCTTTCCCCAAAAGGATTGCCAATTATTAATGTAGCCCACGTTGTTTTCAGGACACCACCTAGACAACCAGCGGATGAATGACGACATGCGGCTAAACATGTCATCACTGGTCAGATCAGGGAGGGGACCAGAGAAAATTACAGAGTCCCACATTGTTTTGGCAAACTTACACACCGAAGCAACACTAATTTTAGTGACCTCCAATCGGCGTAACCGGGTGTCATTACCACCAGCGTGAATAACAATCTTACTGTATTTAACCTTATCCTTAGCCAGTAGTTTCAGGTAGGATTTGATGTCGCCCGTTCTGGCCCCCGGCAAACATGTGACTATGGTCCCTGGTGTCTCTAATGCCACGTTTGTGAAAAGAACTTCAGATGGAGATGGTCTGGACAGCTACAACGCTGCTCAGTAGTCCAAACAGGAAGTGAACACGATACGTCTCACCAACAGCACCAGCAGCACCCTCTAGTGTCAGGGAAGCAGCCAGTGAATAAATCTGTCTGTATTGATGGATTACTGCTGTTATCTCTAAAGACATGGGGAAGTGTAGCATGGCGTCGCTCTAAAGGGCATGGCGGGTTCTTTAGAGGCCTGAAAACTAGTCAGAAGTCTAGAGGACAGGTTTGGACAAGGAGACACGGCACCGTCCAACAGGAAGAGACGCAGAGTAAAACGCATTCTCTTCTCCCAGGCCCCACAGGAAAGAGATTTTCTTAGTTTGGAGTCCTGCAGCGGGTGGGCAGACTGGAACGTTAACAATAAAACATTTCAATAACCATCAACTTAATATGAGACTGATCAAAGTTAAGCTCCATGCCCCAATTTCTATATTAGAGTCTCTATCATTTGTGTTTCTATGAGGAGTTTTTTAATCAATGATTGCGCGTGGATGTCCAGGAGGTTCTGGTGGGTCGACTCAGCCAACAGGGTCAGCAAAGGTCATTAGCATGTGACTGAGAGGAGCGGCTAAAACAGACACGCTTCCTGATTAGCTGTTAGCTTCCATCGCTAACGGTTACAGAACATCAGAAGGGAGAGGGAAGAACCTGAGGTCACGCTTTCAGCTGCTACCGGCAGGTCTCCCTGCCTCTGGGCTGGATCAGAGGCGGCGGCGCTGAAGCAAAGGAGGCGTGTCTTCAGTAAATATTAGCATCATCAACAAACACTGGAAAACAGCTTTAGAAAACATGACCTTCATCACGGCGCCGCCCAGAACCACCAGAACGGACACAGTTCACAGGATCACGACCCAGAATCTAACGTTCCTCCTCCAACATGTGGACCTGGTCTCCTGAAGGACTGACGTTCCATCGTTCCATTTCTGAGCTTTAGGATCCTCATCAGTAAACCGGCACAGACCAGAACCCACCAATCAGCCGGCATCGGAACCCACCAATCAGCCGGCATCGGAACCCACCAATCAGCAGGCATCGGAACCCACCAATCAGCCGGCATCGGAACCGACCATTCAGCCGGCATCGGAACCCACCAATCAGCCGGCATCGGAACCGACCAATCAGCCGGCATCGGAACTGACCAATCAGCCGGCATCGGAACCCACCAATAAGCCGGCATCGGAACCCACCAATCAGCAGGCATCGGAACCCACCAATCAGCCGGCATCGGAACCGACCATTCAGCCGGCATCGGAACCCACCATTCAGCCGGCATCGGAACCCACCAATCAGCCGGCATCGGAACCGACCATTCAGCTGGCATCGGAACCCACCAATCAGCAGGCATCGGAACCCACCAATCAGCCGGCATCAGAACCCACCAATCAGCCGGCATCGGAACCGACCATTCAGCCGGCATCGGAACCGACCATTCAGCCGGCATCGGAACCCACCAATCAGCAGGCATCGGAACCCACCAATCAGCAGGCATCGGAACCCACCAATCAGCAGGCATCGGAACCCACCAATTAGCAGGCATCGGAACCCACCAATCAGCCGGCATCGGAACCCACCAATCAGCCGGCATCGGAACCCACCAATTAGCAGGCATCGGAACCCACCAATCAGCCGGCATCGGAACCCACCAATTAGCAGGCATCGGAACCCACCAATCAGCCGGCATCGGAACCCACCAATCAGCAGGCATCGGAACCCACCAATCAGCCGGCATCGGAACCCACCAATTAGCAGGCATCGGAACCCACCAATTAGCAGGCATCGGAACCCACCAATCAGCCGGCATCGGAACCCACCAATTAGCAGGCATCGGAACCCACCAATCAGCCGGCATCGGAACCCACCAATCAGCAGGCATCGGAACCCACCAATTAGCCGGCATCGGAACCCACCAATCAGCAGGCATCGGAACCCACCAATTAGCCCGCATTGGAACCGACCAATCAGCCGGCATCGGAACCCACCAATCAGCCGGCATCGGAACCCACCAATTAGCAGGCATCGGAACCCACCAATCAGCCGGCATCGGAACCCACCAATCAGCAGGCATCGGAACCCACCAATTAGCAGGCATCGGAACCCACCAATTAGCAGGCATCGGAACCCACCAATCAGCAGGCATCGGAACCCACCAATCAGCCGGCATCGGAACCCACCAATTAGCAGGCATCAGAACCCACACATGTTCTGCCTGGAGGTATTTGGGTCAAAGGTCACACTCTGCTCCTGGTTGGTCAGTTTTTCCCAGAAATCCTCAGAGCTAAAGCTCATTTACTGGTTCTGATGAGAGAAACTGGCAATACAGGTGCTGGTCATAAAATTAGAATATCATGAAAAAGTAGATTGATTTCAGTAATTCCATTTAAAAAGTGAAACTTGTATATTATATTCATACATTACATACAAACTCATATATTTCAGATGTTTATTTTGTTTAATTTTGATGATTACAAATGACAACAAATGAAAATCTCAAATTCATCATATCAGAAAATTAGAATATTGTGAAAAGGTTCAAAATTGATGGCCCCTGGTGCCACACTCTAATCAGCTAATTAACTCAAACCACCTGCAAAAGCCTTTAAATGGTCTTTCAGTCTAGTTCTATAGGCTACACAATCATGGGGAAGACTGCTGACTTGACAGTTGTCCAAAAGACGACCATCGACACCTTGCACAAGGAGGGCAAGACACAAAAGGTCATCGCTAAAGAGGCTGGCTGTTCACAGAGCTCAGTGTCCAAGCACATTAATAGAGAGGCGAAGGGAAGGAAAAGATGTGGTCGAAAAAAGTGTACAAGCAAGAGGGATAACCGCACCCTGGAGAGGATTGTGAAACAAAACCCATTCAAAAATGTGGGGGAGATTCACAAAGAGTGGACTGCAGCTGGAGTGAGTGCTTCAAGAACCACCACACACAGACGTATGAAAGACATGGGTTTCTGCTGTCGCATTCCTTGTGTCAAGCCACTCTTGAACCACAGACAGCGTCAGAAGCGTCTTGCCTGGGCTAAAGAGAAACAGGACTGGACTGCTGGTGAGTGGTCCAAAGTCATGTTCTCTGATGAAAGTAAATTTTGCATTTCCTTTGGAAATCAAGGTCCCAGAGTCTGGAGGAAAAGAAGAGAGGCACTTCATCCACGTTGCTTGAAGTCCAGTGTAAAGTTTCCACAGTCAGTGATGGTTTGGGGTGCCATGTCATCTGTTGGTGTTGGTCCATTGTGTTTTCTGAGGTCCAGGGTCAACGCAGCCACATACCAGGAAGTTTTAGAGCACTTCATGCTTCCTGCAGCTGACCAACTTTTTGGAGATGCAGATTTCATTTTCCAACAGGACTTGGCACCTGCACACAGTGCCAAAGCTACCAGTACCTGGTTGAAGGACCATGGTATCCCTGTTCTTAATTGGCCAGCAAACTCTCCTGACCTTAACCCCATAGAAAATCTATGGGGTATTGTGAAGAAGAAGATGCAATACACCAGACCCAACAATTCAGAAGAGCTAAAAGCCACTATTAGAGCAACCTGGGCTATCATAACACCTGAGCAGTGCCACAGACTGATCGACTCCATGCCACGCCGCATTGCTGCAGTAATACAGGCCAAAGGAGGCCCAACTAAATACTGAGTGCTGTACATGCTCATACTTTTCATGTTCATACTTTTCAGTTGGCCAACATTTCTATAAATCCTTTGTTTTTATTGGTCTTCAGTAATATTCTAATTTTCTGATATGATGAATTTGAGATTTTCATTTGTTGTCATTTGTAATCATCAAAATTAAACAAAATAAACATCTGAAATATATGAGTTTGTATGTAATGTATGAATATAATATACAAGTTTCACTTTTTAAATGGAATTACTGAAATCAATCTACTTTTTCATGATATTCTAATTTTATGACCAGCACCTGTAAACTGATTAAGCGTGCCAATAAAACCCGGGTCACTGAATGATCTCCAGAAGCCGTTAAATCAGTAACCAGCAGAGTGGAACCGGGTCCAACGGCCACCATCCTGTTTGTGGCCTCAGATGTGAACCCAACAGAACCTTGGGAAGGCCAGGGTCTGGTTAGGGTCCAAGACCCGGACAGGGAACAGAACCATAACCAGACTGAAAGGTTCCTGGGCCAGACTCTAGAAAGCAGCAGAACTAACCCTAAACAGCAGTTACCGCGTCCAGAACCAGCCCCTTCCAGAACCGGCCCCTTCCAGAACCAGCTGAATGACACCTGTTGGACGTCTCATCAGGGGACATGTTAAAGTCCAAACAACCGAGCCACAGGTTCCTGAACCGAACCGGGTCAGCACACCGACCCACTTACCTCCGAATAGGTGAGGCGACAGGTGAGCGGGTAAAGATCCGATCACCAGCCGGGCCCCTCCGTGCCTCGTCCGGTCCTGGTCCGCCTCCTCCGGGCTGCTGCCGCCGGACTCCGGTGAGCTCCGGACTCCTCCGCTGTTCGGGATGCTGATACCTGACCGGGCTCCGGAACCTGGACCCGAAGAGCCGCCGGCGGACGTGGGCCTGGTTCCGGGAGGCTGGCCGGAGCTGGACGCGGCTCCGGAGGCTCTGGACGTGCCCTGTGCGCGGTACCGGACCCCCTCCGCGGTGCTGGTGGTCCTGCCGCTGCTGGCGGAGGGCAGGTCCGACCCGGAGTAGGCTCTGGTCCGGCCGTTAGCGGGAGAGGGAGCGGAGGGGCTGCTCTGCTTGGCCCCCATGGGCCCTCCGCCGCCGGGCTGGGGAGAGGCGCAGGGGCGGTCCGGAAGGAAACCAAGGAAACAAAGTGACCGCTGCTACGATCCCATCAGCCGCAGAGAACTTCTTCAGCCAGCCGGACATGCGTGGCAAAGTTTCGGCTCCGTGACCATCGTTGCTCCCCCGCTGCAGGAAGCCCCGAGCAGCAGCCTCTCACTGGCCGCTGCAGCATCGCACCTGAGCGGCCGGCTCCTCCCAGCGCGCGGCCCTGACCCCCATTGGTGCCAAGGAGGAAGTGATGGAGGACAAAGTCCGAGGAAAAAACCCTTCCTCAGCGGCTCCAAGGAGACACGAGCTGACAGGGAAGCCGGACGTGCTGACGTCTACTTCCGCTGAGACACTTCAAAATAAAAGCCGTTCAAAGACAAAAGCAGGCAAAGTAAAAGTTAAGAATGAAAGGGATGATACAATATCTCCCTCCATCCATCCATCATCCATCCATCCATCCATCCGTCCATCCATCCGTCCATCCAACCATCCATCCATCCATAATCCATCATCCATCCATCATCCATCCATCCATCCATCCATCCATCCATCCATCCATCCCTCATCCATCCATCCATCCATCCATCATCCATCCATCATCCATCCATCATCCATCCGTCCATCCATCCGTCCATCCAACCATCCATCCATCCATAATCCATCATCCATCCATCATCCATCCATCCATCCATCCATCCATCCCTCATCCATCCATCCATCCATCCATCATCCATCCATCCATCATCCATCCATCCATCCATCCATCATCCATCCATCCCTCATCCATCCATCCATCCATCCATCACCCATCCATCATCCATCCATCCATCATCCATCCATCCCTCATCCATCCATCCATCCATCCATCATCCATCCATCCATCATCCATCCATCCATCCATCATCCATCCATCCATCCATCCATCCATCATCCATCCATCCATCCATCCATCATCCATCCATCATCCATCCATCCATCCATCCATCATCCATCCATCATCCATCCATCCATCCATCCATCCATCCATCCATCCATCCATCCATCCATCCATCATCCATCCATCCATCCATCATCCATCCATCCATCATCCATCCATCCATCCATCCATCATCCATCCATCCATCATCCATCCATCATCCATCCCTCCATCATCCATCCATCATCCATCCATCATCCATCCATCCATCCATCCATCCATCATCCATCCATCCATCATCCATCCATCATCCATCCATCATCCATCCATCCATCATCCATCCATCATCCATCCATCATCCATCCATCATCCATCCATCATCCATCCATCCATCATCCATCCATCATCCATCCATCATCCATCCATCATCCATCCATCATCCATCCATCCATCCATCATGAACGCAAATACCCCGAGTTAAAATACAATGATACCTTTAATAGCTACAATCACACAGTATTATCTAATAACTAACCCAAACATCAAACACTACTGAAAATAAGCAGAATTAAAGAAATAAAAGGGGAAGAGGAGTTTAAGAGTCCATTCAAAATCTGTGATGTTCAAAGTTTAAGGCCTAATGCATTTAAAAGTGTCCTTTATAATAGCAACGGATAAAATGTAAATAATAATAATAATAATAATACATTTTATTTAACAGCGCCTATCTTGACACTCAAGGGCACTTTACAAATAATACAAGAAAATAAATAAAAAGAGATGAAAATACAAAATACAGATACAGGAACATAAAAAAACAAAAAAACAATCATGGATAGGGAAAAGAGCACTATAGTATATATACAGATAAGCGAGCTGGAACAGATGGGTTTTGAGTCTGGCTTTGAATAAGGGGAGAGAGTCAATACTGCGGAGGTTGGGAGGAAGTGAGTTCCAGAGCTGGGGGGGGGGGGGGGGGGGGGGGGGGGGGGGCTCTGCTCCCCATGGTGACAAGTTGAGCTGGAGGTACAGTGAGGTGGATGGAGGAGGAGGATCTAAGGGAGCGGGAGGCGGTGGCAATGTGAAGGAGGTCAGACAGATATGGAGGAGCTGCTTATGGCAGACCTGCTTATGGCAGACCTGCTGAAGGCAGACCTGCTAAAGGCAGAGCAACTGAAGGCAGACCTGCTAAAGGCAGAGCAACTGAAGGCAGACCTGCTAAAGGCAGAGCAACTGAAGGCAGACCTGCTAAAGGCAGACCTGCTGAAGGCAGACCTGCTAAAGGCAGACCTGCTTATGGCAGACCTGCTGAAGGCAGACCTGCTAAAGGCAGAGCAACTGAAGGCAGACCTGCTAAAGGCAGAGCAACTGAAGGCAGACCTGCTAAAGGCAGACCTGCTGAAGGCAGACCTGCTAAAGGCAGAGCAACTGAAGGCAGACCTGCTAAAGGCAGACCTGCTGAAGGCAGACCTGCTAAAGGCAGACCTGCTTATGGCAGACCTGCTTATGGCAGACCTGCTGAAGGCAGACCTGCTAAAGGCAGAGCAACTGAAGGCAGACCTGCTAAAGGCAGACGTGCTAAAGGCAGAGCAACTGAAGGCAGACCTGCTAAAGGCAGACCTGCTGAAGGCAGACCTGCTTAAAGCAGACCTCCTGAAGGCAGACCCGCTGAAGACAGACCTGCTAAAGGCAGACCTGCTTATGGCAGACCTGCTAAAGGCAGAGCAACTGAAGGCAGACCTGCTAAAGGCAGACCTGCTGAAGGCAGCCCTGCTTATGGCAGACCTGCTGAAGGCAGACCTGCTAAAGGCAGAGCAACTGAAGGCAGACCTGCTAAAGGCAGACCTCCTGAAGGCAGACCCGCTGAAGACAGACCTGCTAAAGGCAGACCTGCTAAAGGCAGACCTGCTTATGGCAGACCTGCTAAAGGCAGACCTGCTAAAGGCAGAGCAGCTAAAGGCAGACCTGCTAAAGGCAGACCTGCTGAAGGCAGACCTGCTTATGGCAGACCTGCTAAAGGCAGACCTGCTAAAGGCAGAGCAGCTAAAGGCAGACCTGCTAAAGGCAGACCTGCTGAAGGCAGACCTGCTAAAGGCAGACCTGCTGAAGGCAGACCTGCTTATGGCAGACCTGCTAAAGGCAGACCTGCTGAAGGCAGACCTGCTAAAGGCACTCCTGCTGAAGGCAGACCTGCTGAAGGCAGACCTGCTGAAGGCAGACCTGCTTAAAGCAGACCTCCTGAAGGCAGACCCGCTGAAGACAGACCTGCTAAAGGCAGACCTGCTGAAGGCAGACCTGCTAAAGGCAGACCTGCTGAAGGCAGACCTGCTTATAGCAGACCTGCTGAAGGCAGACCTGCTAAAGGCAGACCTGCTGAAGGCAGACCTGCTGAAGGCAGACCTGCTTATGGCAGACCTGCTAAAGGCAGACCTGCTGAAGGCAGACCTGCTAAAGGCAGAGCAACTGAAGGCAGACCTGCTAAAGGCAGACCTGCTGAAGGCAGACCTGCTTAAAGCAGACCTCCTGAAGGCAGACCCGCTGAAGACAGACCTGCTAAAGGCAGACCTGCTGAAGGCAGACCTGCTTAAAGCAGACCTGCTAAAGGCAGACCTGCTGAAGGCAGACCTGCTTATGGCAGACCTGCTAAAGGCAGACCTGCTAAAGGCAGAGCAGCTAAAGGCAGACCTGCTAAAGGCAGACCTGCTGAAGGCAGACCTGCTTATGGCAGACCTGCTTATGGCAGACCTGCTAAAGGCAGACCTGCTGAAGGCAGACCTGCTTAAGGCAGACCTGCTAAAGGCAGACCTGCTGAAGGCAGACCTGCTGAAGGCAGACCTGCTAAAGGCAGACCTGCTGAAGGCAGACCTGCTAAAGGCAGACCTGCTGAAGGCAGACCTGCTTATGGCAGACCTGCTGAAGGCAGACCTGCTGAAGGCAGACCTGCTTAAGGCAGACCTGCTAAAGGCAGACCTGCTGAAGGCAGACCTGCTGAAGGCAGACCTGCTTATGGCAGACCTGCTAAAGGCAGAGCAGCTAAAGGCAGACCTGCTGAAGGCAGACCTGCTTAAGGCAGACCTGCTAAAGGCAGACCAACTGAAGGCAGACCTGCTAAAGGCAGACCTGCTGAAGGCAGACCTGCTTAAGGCAGACCTGCTAAAGGCAGACCTGCTGAAGGCAGACCTGCTTAAGGCAGACCTGCTTAAGGCAGACCTGCTAAAGGCAGACCTGCTGAAGGCAGACCTGCTTATGGCAGACCTGCTAAAGGCAGACCTGCTGAAGGCAGACCTGCTTATGGCAGACCTGCTAAAGGCAGAGCAGCTAAAGGCAGACCTGCTGAAGGCAGACCTGCTTAAGGCAGACCTGCTAAAGGCAGACCAACTGAAGGCAGACCTGCTAAAGGCAGACCTGCTGAAGGCAGACACGCTGAAGGCAGACCTGCTAAAGGCAGAGCAACTGAACGCAGACCTGCTGAAGGCAGACCTGCTTAAGGCAGACCTGCTAAAGGCAGTGCAACTGAACGCAGACCTGCTAAAGGCAGACCTGCTGAAGGCAGACCCGCTGAAGGCAGACCTGCTAAAGGCAGACCTGCTAAAAGCAGATCTGCTTAAGGCAGACCTGCTAAAGGCAGACCAACTGAAGGCAGACCTGCTGAAGGCAGACCCGCTGAAGGCAGACCTGCTAAAGGCAGACCTGCTGAAGCCAGACACGCTGAAGGCAGACCTGCTTAAGGCAGACCTGCTAAAGGCAGACCAACTGAAGGCAGACCTGCTAAAGGCAGACCTGCTGAAGGCAGACACGCTGAAGGCAGACCTGCTAAAGGCAGAGCAACTGAACGCAGACCTGCTGAAGGCAGACCTGCTTAAGGCAGACCTGCTAAAGGCAGTGCAACTGAACGCAGACCTGCTAAAGGCAGACCTGCTGAAGGCAGACCCGCTGAAGGCAGACCTGCTAAAGGCAGACCTGCTAAAAGCAGATCTGCTTAAGGCAGACCTGCTAAAGGCAGACCAACTGAAGGCAGACCTGCTGAAGGCAGACCCGCTGAAGGCAGACCTGCTAAAGGCAGACCCGCTAAAGGCAGACCCGCTAAAGGCAGACCTGCTAAAGGCAGACCAACTGAAGGCAGACCTGATGAAGGCAGACCTGATGAAGGCAGACCAGCTGAAGGCAGACCAGCTAAAGGGAGACCAGCTGAAGGCAGACCAGCTGAAGGCAGACCAGCTGAAGACAGACCTGCTGAAGGCAGACCTGCTGAACGCAGACCAGCTGAAGGCAGACCTGCTAAAGGCAGACCAACTGAAGGCAGACCCGCTGAAGGCAGACCTGCCAAGTCTACCAGGTTTTATTTACATTAATGGAGGCCATAGCGTTAGCATAGTAATAGATACAGTGCTAAGATATCTGGCAGGAGATACTCAGG